CTTCACTCAGCTGGCTGAGATAGCCAATCAAGCCCAGCTCCCATGCCCTGGCGATACTGAGGATTTCGTCCACGTTGCCNATGAACGACCGCGGTCGAGCCCATGCTACAACGGGCCGCGTGGAGCCTTCCGGTCTTTTCTTCACTCAGCTGGCTGAGATAGCCGATCAAGCCCAGCTCCCATGCCCTGGCGATACTGAGGATTTCGCCCACGTTGCGGAAGACCCCTTCACGGTGCCGCGTGCTCACGCCTACGTCACGACCACTCACGAACACCACGGGATCTTGGAGGAGACGAATCAAGCGATCAAAATCCCCAACACCTGCGACGAAGCCATGAGCTCTCCTCAGCGCGAAGAATGGAAAGGAGAGTGCATCAAGGAAATGGACAATCTGCGGAAACACAACGTCTACAACCTGGTGCCCCTCAGCAGCGTTCCCAAGGGAGAGGAGATCCTCGGAACGAAATTCGTCTTCAAGAAAAAGCTGGACGGACGCTTCAAAGCTCACCTGGTAGTCGGAGGACATCGTCAAGAGCCAGGACAGGACTACGGAAGCAGCTACGCACCAGTATGCCGTATCGGGAGCATTCGCATGACGTGCACCATTGGATGCCACAACAACTGGCCCATCTACCAACTGGACGTTGTCGTTGCCTTCCTGAACGCCCTCTGCGACAGAGATGTGTACGTCAGACCCGCCCCCGGTACATCCGCCAAGAACTCCGCGACGGGAGAACCCATGGTGTACAAACTAGAACGGAGCCTCTACGGCCTATCGCAGTCGCCTGCGCTCTGGAACGACACCCTGAACGAATCCCTCAAGGTGTTCGGATGGAAAAGGACTCAATACGACCCCTGCGTGTACATGTATACCAGCGGCAACATCATCGTGATTCTCACGGTCTACGTAGACGACATTCTCATCACAGGAGGAGACCAGCAGCTCGTGGACCAGAAGAAGGAGCTCACGGATCGATTCGAGATGACCGACATGGGAGAGGTAAAGCGGATCCTCGGGATCGACGTGCAGCGGGACTACGAACAAGGAACCCTAGCCATTTCACAGGAGTACTATGTGAACACACTACTGGAGCGGTTCGGAATGCAAGAGGCCAACCCTGTGAGCACTCTTGGATACGGAGCGGAAATCTCCACCAATCAACCTCAGGACCAAATCTTAGGACCCACGGACAAGAAAATCTACCAGTCGATGACAAGAAGCATCCTCTACCTGGCCCAGTGCACGCGATTCGACCTCTCCTACGCTGCCCTACAACTTTCCAAAGCCTGCAGCAACCCAGCGCAGGTGAACTTGACAGCAGCCAAGCACGTTCTGCGATACCTTCGGGGTAATCCGGTTCTTCCTATCGTCTACAAGAGAGGACAGTTTTGGCTAGCGGCATCTACGGATTCATCCTTCGGAGCAAACCTCGACAACGGAAGATCTACCACGGGATATCTCTTCTTTCTGGCTGGAGGACTCATCAGCTACGGTGCGAAGACTCAAACTCTAACCGCGCAAAGCACGGTCGAAGCCGAGATTCAAGCACTTAGCTTTTCAGCCAGAGAGGCGATCTACATCTCAAATTTTATGACGGAATTCAACTTCAAGACCTTCGGATGGGTTCCCATCAACAGCGACAGCACCGGAGCGCTGACAGTGGCCGGGAATNTCATATTTCTATTCCAAGTCTCTCGCGGTTGGAGCCGCACAGAGTGTGAACCTCTGAGGTAGGCTACACAGCCTACCGGCATCTGCAGCATCGTACTGCTGCTAGTGCACAGCGAAATATACTCTGACACCGCCTTCCTCCTGCGGTGCGTGCTGAATTTCATTTTTATAACGAGAAGGGTCCCAGCCGTCCCTTTCCCTCGTCAACGGTGCTAACGTCGAAGTTTGGTACTCACGAGAGCTTGTCAATTATATTTCGCTTTCACCCGCCGCACATTTCGTAATTTTTTCACCCCGTGGGGATTCGAACTCACGACCTCTGCGGATTACGAGGATACCACAGACCACCGGGGCGACCGGTGTCCGTGTAGAAGCTCGTCTTGCCGCTCCAGCAGCAGTGCCGTGCGGCGGGTTTGGCTCGCGGCGGTTGCTGTGCCCCGAGTCCGAGGATCTAGACTATATATATATTTTTTGCCGGTTGCCTTGGTTACGAAAGGAATGACAATGACACCAGCAGCAGCCTGGTCGCTATTCGTCTTGGCATGCTGCGGCCTCTGGTCGCCTGTGTCAAAGCTAGCTAGCTCGTCCACGAGGGCGACGCGGGGCCAAACAAAGCCAGCAATAGGGGGCTCGCTGGTTCGGATGCCCCCCACCCCCTCTTCCCATCTGTCTGGCGGAATCCATAACGGGATCTGAGATCTGAGAACTTGTTGTGTACCCTGCACCATGTAGTAGCTGGTACACACATAGCACTCGTGAGTCCCCACACACACTCACACAAAACCCAAATTGATTAGTGTATGCGTTCATTTCGTATGCATTGTGTCAACGTATCCTGGGCTCTCATATCTAAATATCTGTGTTGGAGACGAGTTTGCTGCGTGTTGTCCAGCCGGAAAAAGAATGAACTTCAAGTAGTGTACACTGAAGTCCAGTTTACCCGGACCGTCAAACCGACACAATCTTCAGCCAGGAGGTCTGGCCTTCGGTTGTGGCTGCCTCCCAACCGGTATCATCGGCGCTTTCACAACCAGGAGGTCTGGCCTAAGGTTGTGGCTGCCCCCCCAACCTGTGTGATCGGTGCTTGCACAACTAAGAGGTATGGTCTAACGTTGTCGCTGCCTCCCAACCTGTATGACAGGTGCTTGCACAACCAAGAGGTGTGGCCTAACGTCGTGGCTGCCTCCCAACCTTCCGCATTCGCCCTTGTACAACCAAGACATCTGGCCGAGGTTGAGGCCTCTTCCTTAGCCCCCTCTAGAACCTGCCCCTACCTTGTGGATGCTCACAACCTACCCACAACCTCCCCTCTGGCCACCCGTGTTGCTGCAGTCATTCCAACATCGCCGGGGGGTAGTACGTGGAACAAGAATTAGCGTCCACGTCCGCTTTGAAAGCGTTTCGAAATAATGCAGATAGGAACGGCTCCTCAATTATTCGGTATTATCACGATTCAACCGAGTAGATTTTGGTCCAACGGCGTTGCTCGGCTTCCTCCATCAAACCATCCACTCTGTCGATGATGTGTTTTTCGGGAGCATGGAACCACTCCGTCTTCCCATTGATTGGCTTCCCAGAACCGTTCGTCTTTTTCAGGCTTGCAACGCGTAGGCTCGGCAGACGGATATGAATCATCCGTTCCATGTTTCTGCAGTTGATGACCTTCCACGATTTCTTGAGCTCGTACTGCTGGCCGTTCTGTCTCTGGAGCTGCTTCACACGTTTCTCCGGATCTTCTTGAGTAGTGTACCCAATCTTCCAGTGGTTCACATATGTAACGTCGTTCAGAAGGTACACGAATCCTATGCCGTCTGAAGTTTCTAGAGGCGTCTCTGTCGAAAGAAAGGCCCAAGAACGCAAGGATTTCCCGTCCAGCAATGGAGGTTAGATTTCATTCAATTCACAGATATGTATATTCTGCTGCTGTAAGCATGCCGACTGGGGCGGAACTATGTATCGGCGGTGGCGAACATCTTTGTTTATTGTTCTCCTTCTTCTCCTCTTACAATAGCATTTGCTCTTTTTGTGTGTCGGACTCAACAGAAAGACACGACTACTACTGCAGGTCCGCCACATAAATGTAGCTCCAAGCCTTGGTAGACGATGGTACTGCAGCCCAGGATCAAGCACCGCCAGCGCGCAATGCACCTACCTCCGTTGAGAATGGCGATCAGTTCGCTTTTCAGAAATTTGCTGAGTCCATGAAAGATCCCCAAGCCCTCGATACCATCTTTCAGTTGCTTCACTGACCAGGATTTATTCGCGACCGGCGCCCCTCGGGGGAACACGGCTATCTCCAAAGCGCATCGCACACACAACGGGACACGTACAAGGAAACACGCATGGTGGAAGAAGGTTCATTGATGAACGGTGTTCATATGTATTCACTTGAGAATTACATTACGCCAACAACACCTTTTCAGCGGGTTGCTCGGAGGCTCATGAACCAGGCGAAGGCAAGATGACTCGTTGTAATGCGTGGGAACCGTGCTCTTCTGCATTCCGGCGGAATCGTATTGATTTCACTGCGCACATTTTCCTACTCGATCGGACGCTCCGGCAACAACAGGCTAACCCTAACCCAAACATCCCACGGAACATGCCTTCCCGTGATTGGTGTGTTGGGAGCTGGCTTCTACTCATCGTCGTATATCTTGTGAAAACCCCGTCGCATAGACTACATACATGAAGTGTTCTCGTGCTCGAAATGCTGTCGGTTCCTTACGCTAACATTTCGAACAAAACCTTTCTATTTATTTGTAGAAGCACATTTAAAGTTACGTTTGTCATCGCTTCTACAATATTCATGTAGAGTATGAGACATTAAGTGAAAGTGTTCTGAGGTACATCTGCAATTGTCGGAAGACAAACAAAATAATAATTCCAGCCACATCATGATGTATGAATATTTTACCCCCCCTAGCGTGGATGGATACCATTTGTCCGGTTTCCCACGCTCGGTGATGGTGTGACTTCTTGATGAGAAAGAGACCACGAGGTGGGACGTAGACGATCAAGGTTCACAAATTAAGGAAGGCTCAGTGCTTGAGTTGCGACAACATGGGCCCAATTCACAGGAAGACTTTACGCACACTTTTATGGTTCTGAAAAATGAACCAAGCACGTGAGGTACGCTTTTGTCGAGAGCTTGAAACTCGGGAGTTTCTATTCATGAAATCGAGATCAAGTCGCGAAGTAGAGCAAGAAGTTGTGATGGCGGTATCATCTATCGGGTATCCACTTTATATAGTACCCGAAAAGAAACCTGGTGCACTCTCTAGATCAGTTTTCTGTGTGCACGTCACTTAAATGCAGAAAATATTCGTCCGAGCTCCTCTACGCGTATTCCACGAACAACAAGCTTCCGTTTTTCTACTAACCCCTCCCTTTTCTGGCCATCTCACGGAGGCCAGAAGAGTGATTTTCTTCAGTTCCCAACTGGAGATGTGCCCCCTGGACATTCATTCCTAAAACCCTTAGCCCGTACATGTACTTCGCCTTCCTCCATGATACATAACACATTTGTACTTCAAACAAGTTCACTCCCATTTCACGCCCATGCTGCGTTTTCACCACACGGAACAACACACTTTCGTCAGACAACACCAGGCGCAGACCTCAAGCATCTACTACATCCAACACTCCTCTCCTCTCCTCTATCAGCCTCTTCAAGGTTGCTCACGAACACAACAAGTCGACCACCCACCACTCGTGCATAATACACCACGAAGATAGCACAATTACAGTAGACTATTCCCAGAGATTGTCGTCTTCAGTCCTCAACTGCATAGACTATAACTCGAGATACCCACCTTCTACAAATGTTTCCGACCGTTGCGCCCTTACCAGAATGAATATGACGCCGGTGGGCTATGACAGTAGCAGCGGTGCGCCCACTCTCTTGGCTCCCAGCACCCCATTTCCTATGCATGCATATTTCACACCAAATTCGCAAGGGCATCTTGTCTGGGATAATTGGATGCAAGATCCGATCTGGAGAGTATATGTGTGTGGGGGGTATGCTATTAGTCTAGGGGTCAAGGGGTCCAGGTGAGGGGCGCCTCGAAAGCGAGCAGGCACCTGCAGTCTTCACTGTGTGTGCAAGAGATATAGTGTATGTTGTGCTGGAAGGAGCACTGTGTGATAATCAAGGTTCTATTCATCTGCATCGGTCCTGGGCTAACATAGGCCCCAGAACAACACCTATTACAGTGGGTGGACACAGTAGCCCCCGTGGGAAGGCACGGGGGCCCATGACACATCTCCCGTGTTTTTGGTTGATTGTTTGATTGGTGTTGGCGGGTGGTGAAGCACAGCGCGTGAAGCACAGCGCGTGAAGCACAGCATAACTCCTCAGCACTCAACGGGAGGGGGCAATGGAAACGCGTAGCATGTGCAGCGTGTTGATGGTATGATGATGCCCTAGTCGCGAATGGCAAGCGTGCAAGGGGCAAGGCAAAGGCGGAGGAGGCAAAAAATGACTCCTCGGGGAAGCCCATCAGGCGGACGACAATAATATCCAGATTTTTACGCAAACAATTTCACTCACTCGTCTCACCATCACGTTGTGTACGCAACGGAGCCAACGACGGCCTTCAGCAACTTGACCGTACAGCGTTTGCACCACGCCCAGACTTGACTAGAAATAGAAGAAAAACCTGCAGCATGCATGGATCGAAAACCTTAGATCTATTAGTCTAGTAGAATACAGCAGTACCTGGAACCTTGGAATTTGTTCCGGATGATCAAGAAAAACATGCCCTCGGTGGTTCGTCAATCTAGAGTCCTCCGTACATATTTGGTTCAGATTGGAAATCGTACCTCACGGTACCCGACGACGACAGTACTGTGTCCGCATGATCACCCTCATCCTGCCATGACCGACGACCTTGAAATATGGACGTGACCATAACCGATGTGCTGTCCCTCGGCATGATCGTTGTAATCGTGCGTGTAGTCCCCGGGACCAAGGGGTCTGCGGTCCCTTGAAACATTTGCTGCCCAGATTTTTTGGTTGTTGACATGTAGTTTGGCTGCCGCTGATGGAGCAAGTCTACAGTAGTACTTCTGCACACCCGTGCACTAGCCGCCAGTATCTTACTGAGACCAAGCCCTCTTTGCCGCGCGATGGAAGTGATCATGGTACCAGCGGTTTGATGGAGCGCCGCTCGCCGGCGATTTGGAATTGGAACGCGCAAGTAAGGGAACGAGTGAAGAGTTTTTACTCTTCTGTCGGGAGTTTCTTGTTATTTTGCCCACCCGTGCGGGGATTGATTACGGCCAGCCCCTTTCGTATCGGGCGCGGAAATACTCAAGAACGAGAATCATCAACAAAAAAAAACCGCCTTGCTGCAGTAAGTTGGTCCGTATAGATAGGCGGGCGCATATATCGACCGGCTTTCGGCAGCATCACCATCGCCGGACCCAGCCAGTGCTACTGCCGAGTGTTGTGAATGGCAATTAGACAGGGAGGCGCCAAGCACAACTCAAAATTGTTGACGCTGGCTGCATCGCACGCAAGCACTTGCTTTCAGTCGATCTTGTTAGGAAAGAGACACATAACGCGCCTACATACACAATCAAGGTTTGGACTACTCTTCAAAGGGTACGGAAAATCGGCCACATTTCGACCCAACGACCTCAACAATCTTGCAGAACGAATAGAAATCTTGCTGGTTCACGTGTCTACTTCTGCTTCTTGACTGCTGCCACACGGAAGGCGCTGTTCTCTTCAATCGGAAGAACGTCTCGCCCTTCACCGGACAGGGGGGGGGTGTGTGTGTGTACTCATAGTCGTGCATGCCGTAGTCGTTAGACCATTGACCTCGCATCCCTACAAAGCCGGGACGGAGCACGCCGGGTTCTCACCGGACCAGGCTCTCAC